CGCCTCGCAGAAGAAACACAGAAAATGCCTATCGCTACAGCTGAATAAACAGAAGATTCAACTGCTTTCATTGATTCAACGTGACTAATAAACACACGACTGCGGCAATATACGGTTTATCTGAGTTCTTATTATTATAATTTTCATTAAAATAAAGTATGTTTATAATGCAATGCCTTTATCACTTCTTAAATACTATGAAATATGTTGCGTGCCTTATTCTGTGTAAGAAGCCACATCATCTCACAGAAGGATTTATTTCAAACACTCGACTGACGTTATGAAGTGAGTTTGGAGTAAAAATATGTTATTAAATGTGGTATTTTCACATGCTTTCAGATGGAGCAGCATTTACTTCACAGAGCCGTAGTTCACTGAGAAGCTATGCAAACAGCTGTCATTATCGCGAACGATTTCTTCGATTTCAGAATCGCGCAATAAAATCGTCTGCGATTTTTTTGCGTAACTTGTCAGTGAACTACGGCTATGTGTAGTAAATTCTGCTCCATCTGAAAGCACGTGATGATGATTTATTGATTACAGAACCGGCTTTTTTAACAAAATGCGCATGACAATCGCATTCGATTAATCGTGCAGCCCTATCCAGTTTAGCAGATTATTGAACAAGAAAAAAAATGAAGGAAGGACACTTGGTTCTATTCATCGGGTGTTGACTGGATCTTGAGATGTGAACATTGCATTCAAGAATGGAAGCAGATGAACATGAGCTTGTAAATGACTGGAGAACTCCTGCATACATCTCCAGTTGAGCTGCTTATTGCTGAATTGAACTTGTTTGGTAACTGATGAACTTTACACAGTTACTGAACTGAATCAACACTGAACTGACTGGAGCAAGGACACTATTGTCTTTCTAAAGCTACTTTACAGCAGAATTTGGATTTTTCTTGATGAAGTTAGCATCACTGATTATGTTACTTTGCTGTGAAGATGCTTTGAAGCAATCCCTATTGTATAGCAGAAGACTGTCGTTTTTACTGAAAGACAAAGTCAACATTTTGATAAAAAAATGTTTTAAAACAAAACCTATGCATGGATGAATCTTACACAAGATCTATAACATGCATTTAGAAAAGAGGGTGAATTTCCATTTCATGCCGACTTCAACAGGATTGATGCATTTTTAAGTACTGACCACCAACTTGACTACCAAAAATACTACAATCAAAATGCTTAAAATGTAACAATGCTGTAAACCGGGGAGCCTTTTCTAAACCTTGTTAAAAGGGTGGCACAATAAACCTACACTGTAAAAAATGACTGAATTTAACGGTAAAAGACTGTAAAAATGCTACAGTAAAAACCTGTTAAATGGTTAACGGTAAATTCCCCTACTGTATACGGTGAAAAACTGTATTGGACATCAATTTTACGGTAGTATATCGTTTTTGGAAGTGAAAAATACCGTATAATTTACAGTGAATAACCGTAAATTGACATTCCCAGAATTCCCTGTGTTACATTTCAAATTTGATGTTTTTTTGTTGAAATAACTGTTTCTTCTTAGTTTTTTCTTATCAGTTTTGTATATTAGGGTTGTGTGTTACACCTAATGTTGTTAAATGAATGTTTATTGCATAATTTCAGTTTCATGTGTGTTACCATGAGGGTGTTTAGTGTTTGTGTGAATGACACTGTGCACCTTCTATATATGTTATTATTTAAAAGCTGCTTGTGATAGGCTTTGGTCCATCATGTGACTTTCTCATCACCACCTGCATTTGGTGGTTATCAGTGTATTACACAAAGGTACAAAACAGATTTCAATACTTCAATAGGTTGGTATATAATAAAATTTTATCAGTTAATGAAATTACGGTATTTAACTGTAAATTTAAGTTAAAACCGTAAAACCTAAAACGTCGCTACCGTATTTTTTACAGTAAAATTCCAGCAACCACAGCTGCCGTTTTTTTACCGTAAATTTTACGGATTTTTTTTTTACAGTGTACTGACCCCACATATGTGTGTGAAGTAAAGGATTTCCCACACCAGGTTGAAGAAAGTAATTGATTTTCAGGATCAGAGAAGGTTAAAAGAAGTTGCACGACTCCATGGATAACTATTGCCTGGAAACGCCACATTCTGTCATGACCTGCCTACTTTTTTCTACAGGAAAAAAAATTCACATGAAGCAATTGAACTGCTGGGTTTGCGACCCAAACAATCTGTAACTAGTTCAAGTGTGGTATTCATGTGCCAAACCAAGTAACTGAGACACCATAAATGAAGTTTAAGTTTGGCTATTGTAATGCTGAGACTTCCTGTATAAGGCCTGAGAACTCGACACTGCTGAATTTTAATTATCATTCTCATTCAATGGGACCAGCTTACAAAGCTTCACCATATAACACTGAGCAACAGTTATAATATCAATCTAGGGTTCCTAAAATAAATATCAGTTTCAGCCAAAATACTTTTGGAGGGCTAAAACCACTGACCGAAACAGTGACATTTAATTTGTGCTTCTCCAATGGCGCGTTTTGTCTGTTTCAGCATCCATTTCAACAGACAAACATGTTAGCAGTGTGGACTGTGTACCCTGCACTGTGACCAAAAATGATGCTAGAGTAGCAAAAGTGTAAAAATTGTAAATATGTAAATATTTTTTTGGCTGAACTTATCGAGTGGAGGCTCATTGCCAAGAACTTCATTGCAACTGGTTCATCAACAGAGAACATGATACAATGAAGAGAATATAGAGTTAAATGACCTAAATTTAATTTAATTTTTGTTTTTCAGTTCTGCCTTTTTAAAACTGAAATTAATTCATCCACACCTAAATCAAGGTGTGCTAAGAGTATGTTTATTTCCCCTCAGGTCAAAGTCTTTGCTTTCGCATGTGTTCTTCCTCTCTCTGCAAACTCAGCACAGTCGCATGAAGACAGACGAAAGCACCATTCAGGCTTTCAGACATGCTTGATATCCATCTCTGAAAGACACCGTCACGTGGGCCGCTTTTCATTTAAACCCTAATAAGGCTGCACCGCCAGCCACTGATAGAGCACAGAGGAAAGCTAAACCACTGTATACAAATAAACTTATTCTGAAGAACATAGTCAAGTATATCTAAACTCGTAGTGTGTAACATGTTACCAAATAATTTTAGTTTTATGTAATAGAAGTTGTTCATATTAGCTCACTAATATCTAAAGTAGGCATGCAAAACAACAATTGCACAAGATTTTCAGACATTACGGCTTCCAAACAATACACATATTGGCCTTAACACTAACAGGCTGTAATTTGAGCAAACAAGAATTTGATTTCACAATGTAGCAGAGTTATTGTTTATGAGCTGATTGATGTGATACAGGAAACCACAGATTTTTGGGAAAACCAGAAACATGCCCAAATTACATTCATTTTTTGTTCAAGCGGCAGATATAAGACATAACTTATGACTGAGGTAAACAAACTAGTATAAGGCTAGGATGGGGGCTCAACCAAACATTCACAAGCATCTTTTAACAGTTTTTCGGCCTTGATTTTAATCAACTTTGGTGTGTTGACAGTCTGGCCTGTACCAAAGTGCATGACATAAGAAATTTTGTATGCTTCTGTTTTTAAAATTCATTCATTTTAAGTGCCCGACATAAAGTTACGGCATTTAAAATGTTACATTTCAACTGACTGTAGTTATTAGATTTCTAATTAGCATTTACACTAACCTCAGATGGGAGCTGATTAGGAGCTCAGATTAGGAACTGCATATATTTTACTATTGTTTTCTAGCCCAGCAACATCATAAAAGGTTAGTGTTAATATGACAAATATGCTACCCAAAATCAAGTAAAATTTACTATTTAAAATGTGTTTACTGCTAATTAGTCATGTCCTGTTATTGTTATGACCACCCAGGCTGTATTCACTTTTAATCATAGTTAAATAATAAAAATCATAGTTTAATTTACAAAAATAATTAAAGGGATAGTTCACCCAAAAATTTAAATGTCCCCATGATTTACTTACCCTCAAGCCATCCTAGGTGTATATGACTTTCTACTTTCAAGCAAATCCAATCAGAGTTATAGAAAAAAAAAATGTCCTGGCTCTTCCAAGCTTTATAATGGCAGTGAGTGTTTTTTTTTTTTTTTTTATAGTCCAAAAGAAGTCCAATAAAGCGCATCCATCCATAATAAAAAGTGCCTCACACAGCTCTGGGGGGTGAATAAAGGCCTCCTGAAGCGAATCAATGTGTTTTTGTAAGAAAAAAATCTGGCAGATGACGTAGGCGTAGCGTCAGGTTCGGTGAGAATATGCTAGTCTCGTGAGAACCGACGTTTGTTTACAGGAGCAAAGGAAACAAAGTTTCCGTACTTTAGCAAAGGAAAACCTCCTCTTGGCTTATATCGAAATCCTCCGACATTTCTCTTTACAAATCTTCGTTTTGTACTTCTAATTCATGACCAGTGTTTTGTTTTGCTCTCTCTGCTTCCGCATTCGTCATTTCTTACCGGACCTTACGCTACATCCTACGTCATCCGCCAGAATGAACGCACGTACGACAGTAAGCGGAAGCTAGAGATTACCGTTTATAAAGTTTTAAATATGGATATTTTTCTTACAAAAATGCATTGATTCGCTTTAGGAGGCCTTTATTCACCCCCGGAGCCATGTGGAACACTTTTTATGATGAATGGATGCGTTTTATTGGACTTCTTTTGGACTATTGAAAAATAACACCCACTCACTGCCATTATAAAGCTTGGAAGAGCCAGGACATTTTTTAATATAACTCCGATTGGATTCGTCTGAAAGATAAGGGTAATATGTGCGAATAATATAAGTAATTTAGCTTGATCTGTATTACCTAAAAACTTACTTAAAAACTAGGTTCTGCCTTTCAAACCTTATTCCAGAAGGACCAGAAGGCAACAAATTGCAGGAGTGACCCCTGTGATGACGGTTAAAGGGCATTTCTGAGATATAGGACAATGTTAAAATGGTTAATGCACTGTAAATAAGTGTTGACTTACAGTGAGACTGTTCTGTTGGGAAATGATTCGGGTGAAGGCACCTGATGGAGCTCCATGTTACTGCAGACCACTTTTCTGTCCAGCGTTGCCCCAGACAGAGAGCTTTTCCCTGCACTTCTGGAGCGTTCATCATATGATTTACATTCAGTGGATCCTGCAGAGCTCGAGCTCCTGAGCAGCACGAAAGCCAGTAAAAGGACGCAAGAAGCGTCCAGCGACATCCCTCCTGCCTTCGCTGAGATTCACACGGCAAGAAGAGGGGGTTAGATTAGCATATAAATAGCCCAGAAAGCCTTTTGTTGTTGTTGTTTATATCTAAACACGACGCAAATTCATCAAAAGCCATCAAGCAGAGACGCAGGTCAGCACTCCTTTTAAGTCATGGTCAAAATATTGACTCGACGCAACATTAGATGGGTCGATTTATCATGGTTTTGTGCTCTGCACATTAAGCAGCGGTCGAATATCCTCCTTTGTTTTCCATAAGATTCATTTTACAACTCTACAAGCCCTCTCCAGTTGATCTGTAGCAAGTTTCCACTGTTTTACGCGAAGGTGCTCCACTTGAAGTCGCTACATTTGCTTTGTTTCAGTCGAAGTGGAGAGACGTCGCTCCTCCACCAAGAGACAGCTGCAACCATCCCAAGATAACAGTCTCACAAACTCAAGGAAATCTGATCACAAAAAAACTTTTCCTCTGCGCTCATCTCATCGCACAAACTCAAGGAAATCTGATCACAAAAAAACTTTTCCTCTGCGCTCATCTCATCGCACATTTGGCCTCCAAAGGAAAGCGAAAGCGTTTCTACACGGTTGCTCTTCTACGATTCCATAAAAACGCGAAATATCCGCGTGCCCAACAATAAAACCATTCTTGAGAAACTGAACGCGTAAAGTTGGTTTTCACTTTGCGACTGTTCCACATAGGCTTCAATGCTGCTGTCGACCGCGACGGTAAAGACGCTTTTCGAAGGATCCAAGCGGAATGTGTAACACAGAGCCCCAGACAGAGTGCGATCCGTGCAGACGGTCAGAACGCGTCCAGCGCGGAGTGTGCTGTTCTTCTCCGGACCCCGGGCTCCATGTTCCATTTCCTCCCCTGACGTCATCATAGGTTTGGCCTGAACTCCAGTCAACACCGATCCCTTCTTCAGTCAAACCCACTGCTGTTGCCCGATCCTTCCATTTAAAAGATATTCTATGCTTATTACACTGACACTTCCAACAAGTCTGTGGAATATATATATATATATAAAAGAGGTACAAAATCACTTTCACAGACTTTTTCATTAACTGTTCCCTCCTGGTGGAATGACCTGCCCAAATCAATCCGAGCAGCTGAGTCCTTAACCATCTTCAAGAAACGACTAAAAACACATCTGTTCCACCTTTATTTGACCCTCTAACTCTAACACGTTCTATTCTATTTTAATTCTACTTTATCTATATTTATCTTCTTTTTTTCTGCAAGATGTCTGTTAAAGATCGCGTCATCTGGAAAGCATCTGCTGTGTACAAACATCTGATAGACGTTTCTAAAATGTCAGTTTTACATACATTCTAAATCATAAACATTTTAAAGACATCTTCTAAACGTCTATTTGACATATGACAGGGAATGTCGTATAGACGTATTGCAGATGTAAACGCAGACGTCTCCGTGATGTACGTGATGCTATCAGGGATGTGATTGGTAAGGTCCCTTATATTTTTAGAGTGTTTGCTCATCTGCAATACAGACGTTTCCTATCAGATGTCAAATAGACGTTTAGAAGATGTCTTTAAGATGTTTATGATTTAGAATGTATGTAAAACTGACATCTTAAAGACGTCTGTCAGATGTTTGTACACAGCAGATGCTTTCCAGATGAAGAGATCTTTAACAGACATCTTGCAGACGTATCTGTGCAATCTGGGGTTAATCTGCTTTTCTTCTTTTTCGTCCATTTTTATTTGTTTGTTTGTTTATTCGTTTGCTTATAATTGATATATCTTTTAAATCACGTCTGTTTAGGATTATATATATATATATATTTTTTTTTTTTTGTTTTTTGTTTGTTTTTTGTTTTTTTTGTTTTTTGTATTCATATATTAATTTTGCTTATGTACAGGTGTTTGTTTGTTTTCATTGTGTTTATGTGTTCCTTTTGTTTGTTACAAATGAAATTTTGGGTAATGCTCATTAATATTCAGTGTTTATACAGCATAATTTCTGCTTGCTTAATAAACAAACAAACAAATACAGACATAAATACATAAATAAATAGTTTAAGTTTTAATTTAAATTTTAAAACTTAAAACTATAATTACATTTTAGTTTCCATGCTTTTCTGGGCTAGCAAATTATTTCAACTTTTAGTCATTTAAACTTGCTAAAATTGTTAGTGTATACAACTGGCCCAAATTTTCAGAGATCATTGAATTGAGATACACGATATAGTGTGTGTGTGTGTGTGTGTGTTTAAGATTTACGTAAATTACACAAAATAAAAATGCGATTAAAATGTGACAAAAATATAACTGACCCACTTCTGTCGTTAACTAACTGTATGAAAAAGGACATCCATTTCCTTTCAAGATTACAGCTTTCCATTACAAAACCACAAAACAAAATGCAACACAATACTAAAGAATCTTGATCCATTGTGGAGGTTCTCATTTGTTTTTTAGTGGCCCTCACAAAAGGCTCTCTTTACACTGCTGTGCTAAAAACAAGTTCAGACAGGTTGGCAGTAAAAACAAGGTAGCCTATAGACGGGCTCTCATAGCAGAGCAACCTGAAGAGAACAATGCCTTGTGTGCAGCGTTTGTGACACTGAATCGAGTGGAGATATTTCTGTTTCCAATGGGAGCATCAATCTTTCTCATATATTGTCTTTTTGATCAGGGACAATTTAGAAGCCGTGTGTAGAGAGGACTGCACTGCATGCAGGTCTTTGTCCTTGGGCTATTCAATTTTCATTTCCATTAGTAGCATAGCCTAATATTTGCTTTTTAGTATCTTAAGAAACTTGAGATGCGGTACACACTTGCATTACAGACTGATCAGAATCGGAATCGGAATGAGCTTTATTCGCCAAGTGTGTGCAAACACACAAGGAATTTGTTGTGTTTTTTTTTTAGGAGCTCTTGGTACAAACATACATACATACATACATATATGACACTGAGAACAGAAAGAATATTTAAATAAGTAACTAAGACTAAGGGGGAAAAAAAATAATAATGAAGTATAATAAAGTAAAACCGTACTCTGTGAGAATATCCTGGTCACGGCTCCTTCCCGACGGAACAACAAATCATGTCAATCCAAAAGGTGATCCGGGAAAAATTGTACTCTTAGTGTGAGGTTCAGAGGAGTCAAACACCAAAGCCAATCTTTTGTTCTTTCTCTGTGCAGATTTACAAACACCTTAAACGATACTTTGAAATGATAGCTTTTCATTAAAAGTCACAAAAATTAAAATGTGCTATTTATCTAAATAGTATCAATATATGGAAGTAGGAACAGGAAATTATGAAAACTGAGTAAAAATGCTTTTATTGAAGTTCAAGGGTTCTGGGTAATTTGAAGTTGTGCAACTAGGAATAATTGTTTTACACATTTTTTTTTTAAATAAAATACAATTGCAGCAATTAGTAAATGACAACAATCCAATCAGTTTCCAATGGATAAAATCAAGTTCTGCCATACATCTCTCCTCATTTCTGAAGCCGTTGAACTCAGATAAACATCAATAGAGTAGTATATACAGTATATATATATATATATAATTTATACTTAATTGCAACTTTGTCATTGCAAATGTGTAATTACAAATATATTTCAATGCATGACATACAAGTTTTAGTATAAATGACATTAAGGTATGTTCAGCAGTAACCATATTTCAAAGACAATAGAAGCAATTATAAAATGACGCATAAAGGTCACTCTTAAGGCAATTATATACATTAAAACTACATTTTCATTTAACTGCAATTAATATGCTATTATGTGTCTGAAAACATTACATTCAGTTTACTTTTTCTTTTTAAGTATATTATAGCTGTAATAAGTACACTTTTTCTAAGTATGCTAAAGTGTACATCTTTTTCACAAGGGTGGCTGTAGTCCTGATATTGTAAAATCCAGCTATTGTAGCTTTGAGACCCAGACGAATTGAAGTATTTCAAATAATATAAACTATAATCTGATAGGAGCTCTGTTCTGAGGACGATCTCTGCATGATGTGTTTGTCTTCCAGCTATCAGTCAAGACAGAGTGAATGTAAAGGGATATTTTGCCTGGTCTCTGCTGGATAACTTTGAGTGGAATGATGGCTACAGTGTGCACTTCGGCCTGTTTCATGTGGATTTCTGTGCACCTGAACTGAAGCGCACTATTTACCGCTCAGGTAGAGAGTATGCTGCTGTGATATCCAAACATCGCTCCCAGACCAAACCCAAGAGCATTTAATTCCTAACATATTAAATCAACATAATATTACACTTGCAAAAGTAACGTCTAATGAAAATGCTATAATTCTATTTTTGGGATACTAAATAATGATGAGCCTTACAGGATCTGGTTATTTTACAGTGTTATTTGCTGTTAAACACTCACTGAGTGAGTCACATAACACTATGAAAAAAAATCTTGTTAAATTAAAATTCGACTTAATTACTTTAGCTGAGGGCGCTTGATCTTTTAGTATGAAGCATGAAGCAAGTAAACAGTATGAGTTTTTGTTCTGATATAGGATGATGTTTTGCGGTTTTCTTATATGTGACCCTGGACCACAAAAGCAGTCTTTTAAGTCAAAATCCAGCTATTGTAGCTTTGAGACCCAGACGAATTGAAGTATTTCAAATAATATAAACTATAATCTGATAGGAGCTCTGTTCTGAGGACGATCTCTGCATGATGTGTTTGTCTTCCAGCTATCAGTCAAGATCGAGTGAATGTATTCATCTGGACAACTTTAAAGGCGATTTTCTCAATATTTAGTTTTTTGTGCACCCTCAGATTCCAGATTTTCTAATATTGTCCTATCATAACAAACCATAGATCAACGGAAAGCGTATTTATTCAGCTTTCAGATGATGTATAAATCTCAATTTCGAAAAATTGACCCATATGACTGGTTTTGTGGTCCAGGGTCACATATTTTGTGTATGATACTTTTGTAAAGCTGTATTTTTAAGCTGAATAAAATTGGACCGCTTCTTAAATCTATGCAAAAAGCAGGCATTGTGTATTCAAAGGATGCACATAGACAATATCTGATTTCTACAAGTGGCTTTCTCTGACTGTGGAGGATATCTATTCTTGTACAGAACCGTGCACAGAAAAAATGCATAATAAGGAAAACATTTTTATATAAGGTGACTTGAAAAAGATTGATTGACCAAGAATAACCAGTAGAGTCATCATAGATGCATATTACATTCAAAGAGAATCAGGGTTTCAGTTCCAGTGTTTTGTTGATATATACTGCCTCTGTGTGGTCCAAAGTGGTATTATATTTGGCACAGCATTTTGTGCTGGTATATTGTTTTGCATTGAGAGTCCTACAGGCATTAAACAAACCTAATGGTGTAAGATGACAATGTGTATGAGATATTAATGTAACCATTTGTGGTAATTTACATGAGGCCATGTAATATACATGCAAACTGAAGTTACGTAAACTGGATTGCACATGTAATTACTATTGAGAATGAGGTTATGCTGAACCTAATCGCAGCCCTGAACTCCCAAGGGAGTAAATGACTGCAGAAATTATGGTTCTGTTCTAATTATTGACCCTGGAACAGACATTATTGCATCATCTAAATGCATAATATGAGATCACAAATCTTTAAAACGAGAACTTGGAGACAATTCTTTGTGGGGGAGATTAAATATTGAAATATTAGCATTTGAAGTATTATCTTGTAGAATGTTTGAGTAGTATTTTTCATATTGTATTGTTCAGTCTATTTGAATCGGAGCACAAGTGTATTAAGCCATTTTTAATCCACATGTTCCAGTCAGGGTGGCAAATAATAATGTTTTAAACAGAATGTTTCTTGACT